TGGAGCTTGTCCCCTGGCAAGGGCTTGGCGAGCAAAGGTGTCGAACAGAGGTAACTCTTCAACTGCTGAAATGCTTGTTCGCACTCCGCTGTCCATTCAAACGGCCCTTTCTTTCGTAGGATTTTGAAAAAAGGAAGGCACTTATCTGTCGACTTTGAAACAAACCGGTTCAGGGCTGCAATCCTGCCATTGAGGCATTGAAGCTGCTTCAGCGTCTTGGGTGCTCCCATCTCGAGCACGACTTTAATCTTTTCGGGGTTAGCCTCAATCCCCCGGCCCCCGGCTGTTCACCATGAAGCCAAGAAATTTTCCCGAAGAGACTCCAAAGGCACACTTAGCTGGGTTGAGCTTCATTTGATATGTCCTCAGAACCTCGAAGGCTTCGGTCAGATCGGGAAGATGTGACTTAGACTGCTTGCTCTTTACAAGCATGTCGTCCACATACACTTCGATATTCCGGCCGATCTGCTTGGCGAACATTTTGTTCACCATTCTCTGGTAAGTCGCTTCTGCGTTCTTTAAACCGAAGGGCATGACCTTGTAACAATACAGACATTGGTCTGTTATGAATGCGGTATGATCTTGATCTCGGACATGCATCTTGATTTGGTTGTACCTAGAGTAGGCATCCATGAAGGTGAGCAGTTCGTGCCCGGCCGTGGCGTCCACGAGCTGATCGATCATCGGCAGTGGGAAGCAGTCTTTCGGGCATGCCTTGCTTAAGTTCGTAAAGTCTACGCACATTCTCCATTTCCCGTTAGATTTCTTAACTAATACAACATTAGAGAGCCACTCGGGATACAAAATTTCTTTTATGTATTCAGCTTTCAATAGTTTGTTTACTTTCTCAACAATTGCATCACTCCTCTCCTTGTTTATAGGTCTTCTTTTTTGTTTTACAGGTCGGAATGACGGGTCTATGCTGAGGCGATGCGTCATAATCTTCGGGCAATGCCAGGCATGTTCTCATGAGACCATGCGAAGACGTCCGAGTTGGATCTAAGGAAGTGGATTAGCTCCTCTCTGTCGGTGGCCCCCAGCTTAGTTCCTATGCTTACCTGTTTCTCGGGACTAAGCAGAGGAACAAGCTCGAGTTCCTCAGTGGGCACGGAAAACTCCCTTCTCAGCAGGTCGGCCTCGAACTCGAGCGACCCATCTGTTGGATCGGTATGGCAACCCTAGAGGGGGGTGAATAGGGTTTAATTAACAAAATATAATCTTTTTAATAAATGAGCCCAATTTAAATAAAAATAATACACTTTTTGAGATATCCAATTTTAACAAAGTAAGATAAAATGAATTCTAAGGCAAACAAGAGAAATTTAAAGCAAACAATCAAATTCTAAAATTAATTGCAAAAATAAATAAGAGAGAGAGTTAGAGAAATTTGACACCGGGAATTTTTATAGTGGTTCGGCACAACTGTCCTGCTCTAATTCCCAATCACCTCTTGGGTTGTAAATTGAAATTCTGACTCTTTCCACCGTAGGAGTCAAACCGGTACACTRCTCTTCACAAGAGCAAAGACGATCCTCCCCACGGTGAGGATCACACCGTTACAATGAGTTGAAGATTTTGAAACACACACTTACAAACTCTCAAATAGAGTAAATATACAAATTTGAGCTCACAAAAATTTCAATCCTCACAATAATAAATTTCTCTCACAAATAAGATGGAAAGAAAAATTGAGAACTTGGAGAGATTAGCAAAATGAAAATTTTGAAATTATGGAGGATTGAGAATAAGAGAATTGTTGTTTGATTTTGAATGAGAAGTTTAGTTTAAATAGAGGGAAGAAAATGGTAAAAAAAATCAAATTTAATTTTAAACCATTAGATCTTAATCATTAGGAATGAAGGGTTGAGATAATTTTGAAAAAGAATTAAGTATAATATATATATAATAATGATAAAATAAAATAATATATATATATATATATAAAAGTGATGTGACAAGTTTTTTTAATTATATATATATATATGTGTGTGTGTGTGTGTGAGAAAC